CTTGTAATTAAAAAATAATTTTTTTATTACTTTTGCTAAAAAATTATTTATAAGTAAAGAATCTGTTGATATCTATATTCTCAATATACAATGTTTTGATAAAAAAATATTAAAATATTATTATCCTTATTAACTATTATTTAAAGTTTTAGCTCAAAAATTGATTCATAACATTTACTGTAAATTATTCTTTGTTTCAAGAATCCTTTAAATTTATGTATAATGCCAGAATTTAATTTAGGTAACAATACAAGTAAAGAAAATTAAATAGAGTAAAAGATAGAGTAAAAGAATAAATGAAAAAAACATAAGTGCCCAATATTTTTTAGCCAAAGCTGTATATTGATCATAATTTTTTCAGTAATTACAAGTATATTTTAATGCTCAATATTATATATATTCCCATCTTCAGCTTTTAAGTATAACTAATCTGCACAGATCCCGAATTTAATTTTAAAATAAAATGCAAAGATGCAACATTCGTTTCTAGAGATTAAAAGCATTGGCTATTCTCTTTTCATAGTCACGAAATATAAACTCATTGTCAACAGGGGAATGCACCAATGACAAACGTATTCGTTTGCGGGCGATGTAATCGAATATAATCGCAACTGTTAAGATAGAAAGTTTTTCGCTGGATGTTGCGTTCCAATGACTGCAGTAAAATCATGGAATTGTTAGATCGCGCAACTGTAAATAGCGGCGTACCGTATTCCTCAGACCGTTATCATCCGTTTTCGACCGTATCGCGACGAATATCGCTGTGCCGCCAAACTGATTATGAGCTTGATGATAAGTTCGAAAGCTGATGTGAGATTAGCTAATGAATCTTTGAGTCGAATATAAATAGAGAGAGCAAAAATATGCGCAGGTAATTAAGATTCATTACACTAATTTACAAAATTTTCATTACTAGTTTTGGACAAGGATATAAAGGCTGTATTTCTAGAATAATTTTCGATGTTAATTTCCGAATCTGCCATCGAAATATTTCCATCAAATAAAAAAATAATTTTTTACTTAATTTTTTCATTTGATAAACGAGAATCTTTTTAATTTGTATTTACATTTCCATTAAATTCGATTTTGAGATATAAAAAAAACATTTTCTCCAAAATATAATTTAATTTTTTTTTGTATGATTTTGCATCAGTTTCATGTATTACAGTTCAGCAATAATCGTCTAAGCATGTTTTCATCCTGATAACGTTTCTCAACTATTATCCATCAAATCTTGATGGAAACATATGCATTGCTCGTCATTATCGCACTCAAATTATTCGAAAAGAAATGTCATTTCTTAAAAATGACATGCCTATATTTTAAAAATTCGGCCTAATAGAATTTTTCTGATGGGAGATTCGAACTTAACGTCCCAAATACTTAAAAAAAATTGTTGTTTCCTTTTCTTGTATTAAAAATTATTCAAAATCTGTAAATTAATGTAATCAGATATTATGTCGTAAAGATTTTAAACTGATTCTTTATCGAATTATATGAAACAATCAGGTATAAAATAAAGAGAACAAAAATAGAAATCCAAATTTATCGGACAAAATTTCTTTAACATTCTGATTTATCCAAGTATTTGTTGCAAGATTCTTTCTCTCTGAAAGTCTAAAAGTTAGATTATAATAAAGACAAAATATTTGCTCCTAATAATAAAATAAATCGGTGAATCAAGGAACGGCTGAAATAAAACAAGAATTATTCGATTTTTTTACGTATCCTGAAAAATTCATCGGATAACATTTTTTTCAAACATCTAATTTATCGAACATTGAACAGTTGATATCGCGAGGAACGAATGACGAAGTCTCACCTCATAGAAGAGCCATGCGGAGAAGATCACTTGGAACAGGTTATAGAATACTAAGGTGTTTTTAAGTTGGAAAGGTTTCCGATTCTCCATGAGCTTTGGTCCGAGTACCTTGACAACATAAACATAGCTGAGGCAGATAAATAACGTGGGGAAAGGCGAGCTCATCAATAACCAATTAGTCGTCCTTGTGTCTGAAAAAAAAAACATCAAAAAACTTTCTTAGGAATCCTTGGGAATAACTTTGAAACTTCGATCTTTTTTTTTTCTTTCGAAAAAACCGCAGAATTTGGCAATGTAACATCATTTTATCTATCTAATTTCTCGACTGTACTGAATGACAAAGAATATAAGAAGAACCAAACAAGATTTATGTGCGCAATCAACAAGAACTAGAATCCTGTTCCATTTCTGCCGCCAATCTATTGGTATAGCATA